CACACACACACACACACTCACACACACACACTCACACACACACACACACAAAGCCAGCCCTGCGTGTTTTTATATGGAGTACCTAATAAGATAATACAGGAAAGTGCTCAGTGCCAGTGCTTGGCACATGCTAAGCCCCCAGTAAGCATTAGCTGTTAATACTATTATTATTCAGCCCAATCACTGAATTGCTAAATGAAGAGAGATACACCAAGGGGCGATTGTAGCAATCCAGAAACAGAAGTACTTCTAACAGCATGTGGCTATTTAGGTTGGAGGGTACTTTGAAAGATGAAGGACTGGAGGTATGAGGCAAAGTAATTAAGAACAACTGCATGTTGGGGAGTCTGCTGAAAACACTCTTTGGAACTGGGCAGGTGGCAGCTTGAAAGGACAAACTTCAACTTGCACGGATGTATTTTTTTTAAAGCTGTAAATCTTGTTTTTAAACATGAATCTCTACCTTGGGATTAAAGGACTTAATTGGACTCTAATCCCTTTTTAACAAGACAAGGAGGAGGAGAAAGTCAAGGGCTTCTCAAAGACCTGTATGCTGGTCGAAAATGAAAACAATCACCATCAACAACATTTTCTATCTCATACCACTGTCTGGATCTCCAAGAGGCTGGTTCTTCACGTGCCTCAGCCCACCACCTGTACTACATGCCCACACACACACGCACATGCACACACACACATACACATTTTCCCCTCCACATACTCTCTCCTTACATAAAAAACTATAACGTTCCCTTCCTACACACACATTCCAAATGCTTTTTTACAAGTACATACACGCTTTGTGCTCAGAGTTCTCCCTCCACCACACACACGCGCACACACACACACACACTCTCTCTCTCTCTCTCTCTCTCTCTAAAATGAGGGGCCTAGTGACTCACAATTAAGCCAAAGACTAACAGAATTTTTCTAAAGCCGTTTTTATATATAGAGAGAGATAGGTAGATATTTATAAAGTACAGCCCACACTCAGAAGATCTAAGCAAGCTCACTCAGCTGTAAGTTGGTTTCCCAAGAGATTTAGCCAAGAGTCACTTTTCATGTGCCTTTTAAATTCTTCTTTCCAGTCATTTACCTTATCCATAGAGAGGCTAGAGCAGAGTGGAGAATCCTGGTAGGATTTAAAGTAAATAGTATTTTTTAAAAATTTAATTAAAAAATGTAAAGTAAAATAGTGTTTCTTCCTAGTTTTCACAGAGGTGAGAATTCCAAAATTTGGCATTTGCATATCCTATTCCCAGGGAACCTTTGCACGGTATTGATAATAGCCTTTCTCAATTCAGATGGCTGTGGATTTTAAGTGTTTCTACATGTTTGCCCAAGTGTTGTCAAAAATGCTCTTAAAATACTTCATTTACAAGCTACATCTAAAGATGGGTAAAACATTGAGCAAATGACAAGTTCTTTTGCTTCCTTTTTACTCTAACATCCTTGAGAGCTGAGGTTGGATCTAACTTTTCAGTTTTCCCCTCTATTCCCCATCCCAGCACCCTGCACAGTGTCTACTCTGTAATAGGCACTCAGTAAATCAGGAAATCAAGACTTTTGACTTAAACATCTGGGCAGACAGTTGTGATGTATACTCAGACAGGAAAGCCTGGAGGAGGAATAATTTCCTGTAGAGATCTCACAGGTCAGTGTAGCTTTTTCAACCAATAAACATCTGTTGGGTGCTTACAGTGTGCTCATAACCATAGTGAGTACTGGGGATTCTACGACCAAAACAACAGGAACAATAGTCACCTTGAACACTTACTGAGACTAATATGATTGATGGATAGAGAAATAGAGAGATAGCATGATATACTCTGATAGCAAAGTCTTTATTTGCTAGTCTCCTAAGTCCTGCCCTCTATCCTGAAAGATGATAAGAGCCTTTGTAAGGGAGATATTATCACTACTTTAGGTAGTTACTAAAGTACTTTAGTACTTCACTACTTTAAGGTAATTAAGCTGCCCCCCCAAAAAAATAGTTTTTCCATAGTTCATGTAATTAGTAAACAATCAGAGTCTGGATTACCCCTAGAATTGTGTGATGCTGGAACATACACTCTTGTCACTACACTATGCCATCAACAGAGACCTCATCAAGCAACAGTGTTATGTCAGTGCAGTTCATATCGGATATCTGTAGCCTCTATTCTTTCAGACTTGTCACCTGACTCGCTTTAGACACCGAGGCCCTCCACCATTCTCTTCCCTGCCCACCCCCTTCTCCAGTAAAGAATTTGCCCTAAGTCTTTTACATCTAAACGTTTTTGTTTACTATCATTTTGTTCCTTTATGAACTACCAACTGTGTCCAGCCATTGTGTATGCTGCTGAGGTACCAAGAGTAAACTCTCACCATCAAGGAACACCCTCTGGCAGAGACACAAAAAATAAATGACTGCCTATAGTGGAGTGAGGGCTTCCTAACATGGGTTGAGGACCTGCTGGCACCCGCACTGACTTAAGCAGTACAGAGACTCAGAATTTAACAACACAGAACTGTAGACTGAGAAAGTCATTTCCTTTCCAATTTTCCCCAAGTCCATTGATGATATCGAGAAGGTCCCAATTTGGTACTGACACCTGACAGTCTGCCTTGGTAAGGAAGAGAGAGCAAGGCCTGGGGCCCAGGGCTTCTGGCAAGTTCTTGCCCATCTCTGAACTGAACAACACTGTATGTTTTTATTATGTGGTCTGATGGTTATCTTCCATATAAGTGGTATCAGTTTTATGTTCACAGCGGTATATGAAAAGAGAAGCCAGAGTAAGGAATTTTGTTTTCCTGTTGTCTTTGTGTCTTCTCACCTGTGGGAAACCACCTGACACATTTGGCTAGAACATCAGGAAATGGCCTCAAAGATGAACTTTGCACTAAATACAACTGTACTCGTAAATAATTCAGGATTAGACCTGAAGAGGGTGAGTAGATTCCCTGGGAAACTGTGGTGAGAAGGTTAAGTAGGAGGATTGGAACTCATGTAGTTGGCCTCTGGGAGAGTCCTGAAGATGATCTCAAGGTCTACACTGAGAAGGGACGCCTTAGAAGGAGAAAGTCAAGTGCATGGGGCACACATTAGAAAGATGTCCTTGAACAGTTGAAGTCACAACTGCCAGGCCCACCCTAGAGATTCTAAAATTCACTTGTTCACGATGTGGAGGCTGCCTGCCCACTGTCTCCCACACTCACAGAACAATGAGGCATTCTTGTTTTCTCTAATGCTGGGCTTCCTAAGAGGTTCTGCTCCCTCAGTATACCCCCTATCTCCTACCCTCACCTGCCACCCCCCTACTAATCCCCTTAACCCCCGCCTTCAGCCTGCCCCTCCTCCTGTATCACAGATGCAGGTTAGTGGAACTGCTAAACAACTAGAAAGCCTGTCATCATTCCAGAGTTTTGTCTTTCCCTCACCTCTTACATCAGTTAGTCAGCAAGCTCATTTTCCCACCTGAATTGTCATGGCTTCTGTCCATTCCATCCCAGTGCCTTACTTTTGGTCCTCATCTCTTGCCTAGACTGTTGCTTCAGCCTCCTCCTTGGTCTCACAGAGCTCATGCTCAATCACTACACCTCACCCCACCCACCCCTTCACCCCCATGCATTCTTCCAGTCGTGGCCTCTGTCACAATGTCTTGAAAGCCCAAATCCATGAAGCTGCTTCTCTTGCCCAAACTGCCAGTGGTTCCCTACAGTCCACAGAGGAAGTGATACCTGCCGTTTATTGAATGGCCACTAAAAGCCAGCATCTATACTGATAACTTACAGACATTATGACTAGCCTCACAACTGTTCATAGTAGGCACTGGTATGCCCATTTTACCAAATAGGAAAACTCAGGGACAGAAAGATTAGGTAACTTGTCCAAAGTCTCAAAGTTAGAAACAGAGTCAGGATTTGAGGACAGACTAAAGTTTATTTATTTACTTTGACAGACAGAGAAAGAGAGCATGAGCAGAGGAGGGGATAGAGAGAAATAATCCCAAGCAGGCTCTGTACTGTCAGCACAGAGTCCCATGAAGGGCTCGAACTCATAAACTGTGAGATC